CGCTGCTGGCTGCTGGGTTTGGATCCCAGGTGCGCACGGATGCACTGCTTGTCAGGCCATGCTGTGGCGGCGTCCCATATAAAGTGGAGGAAGATGGGCACGGATGTTAGCCCAGGGCCAACCTTCCTCAGCAAAAAGAGGAGGATTGGCATCGGATGTTAGCTCAGGGCTCATCTTCCTCACAAAAAAAAAAAAAAAAAAAAAATTTCATAGCTTTGTGGAATACTTGAAACTGGGAAAGGTATAACATACATTGCCCAAGTATTCAGTCAGCCATGCAGTAATTGCTGAGCTCCTGCCAGGCCTGCACACTGGGCATGGCACAGAGGATACAAAGATAAAAACGACAGTCCTTCCCTCCAGGAGCCAACCTTCTGGTGGGAACATAAACCAATACTTACGGTAGGCACATCATAGCTACTGAAACAGAGATGTGAACATAGAACGAGGGGAGCAAAGAGGAGTGACTAGTTTTTCCCAAAGAAAACAAGAAAGGTTTAAAAAATGGGGTGAAATTTGAGCTGAGTCTCAAAAGTGAGAAGTGTACATTTATTACAGGAGGGCTGGTTAAGATCCGGGAGAGACAATAAATTCTATGTGGCATGGACATTGGCCATTGGAAGAAAAACAGACTTAACGATAGGTTGGGACCCGCCTGTGAAAGTCCTTGCTACTATAAGAGAGCTGGGACTTGATCCTGCTTGTTTCAGTCAGCCAAACGGAGGTTAATAAGCAAGGGAGAGTTGATTGACGGTGGCCTGGAAGTCAGGGCAGAGTGACGGTAGCATGGAGGCCGGCAGGGGCTGCAAATCAGAAGAAAGCTTTCTGGGAGCTTTCTACAGTTGAAGTGATGGATTTTGGAGTACTGAGATACGGGGACAGGTGGAGGTTGTGAGGAGGGAAGAACAGAAGTCAACTTGATATCAGCCTGGAAGTCTGGATAGATGGTGATGCCACTACGGGAAATGGACAGATGGATAAATAGGAAATGGAAGAGGGCCTGGGCCGCCCATCCCCCGGCCTCCTCCTCTGCCTGGCTAATTTGTATCCTCCTTTCAAGATCCTTTCAAGGCCCCGAGGAAGCCTTCCCTCTTCCTCCGCTGAGGGTGCTCCTGTTGTGACCTTGCAAAACCGTGCGTTCACCTCGTCATACTTCCACGCTGTGTTGTAATTACCTCTCTCTTTTACTTGGGCAGGAGGAAACCAAAGCTCTGCAACTGCCCAGGGGAGAAAAAAGAGTGCAAGATTCAAATCATTCAGAGCCCGGGGATCTCTACATTGAAGGAGGATGAGGAGCCAGGGAAGGCTGGAGCATTGGAAGAGGAACGCCCCCTTGACAGCACTGGGAGTGAGGACCATCTTCCCAACACACCACAGAGTGCCTCAGGGCTTGCTGAATGATGCATTAAGTAAGATATGTATCACCTTTGTTAAGAACTGAGAAACATCAGAATTTACAGTGAATATCAGGAAGACTCCACCACCATTCTACATGGTTCTAAGATTTGGCTTATACATAGTAACCAGATCCTTTTCTCATTTTCTTTTATTCATATACATGATTTTTTCCATTATATATTCAAGAATACTTGAATTTTTCTCTCTCTCACACACCCACACCCACATATCTTACACACACACCCCGCAAGTAACAGAGTAGAAACATTTATAAATTTGGAATCACAGGAATTACTTGGGTTCAAAATCTGGATATGCCACTTTTAAGTTGTACAACCTCAAAAGACTTACTTATGAGCACTATGTAACTCCTCTGCTGTAAAGTGGGAAGAATTTTAAGTAACTCATGGTTGCAAGGATTAAATAAGATAGTATTTGTGGAACTGCCTTGTGAACTTTATATAGAGAATGTCTGATATTTTTACATGGATTTAGATCTAGTACTACTTAAACTGTGTTCCAAAAAAAATACACATAGTAAAAGCTTAAAATGGCTTTTTTTAAAATGTGAAACTTATTAAAAAAATTGAGATATAATTGACATATAACATTATATTAGTTTCAGATGTACAACATAATGCCCCAATATTTGTATATATTGTAAAATGATCACCACAATGAGTTTAGTTAACATCCATCACCACACAGGTCCAAAAACTTTTTTTCTTGCGATGACAACTTTTATTTTTATTTTTTTGTGAGGAAGATCAGCCCTGAGCTAACATCCATGCCAATCCTCCTCTTTTTGCTGAGGAAGACTGGCCCTGGGCTAACATCCGTGTCCATCTTCCTCCACTTTATACGGGATGCCGCCACAGCATGGCCTGACAAGCGGTGCATCAGTGCATGCCGGGATCCGAACCCGGGCCACCAGCAGTGGAGCGCGCGCACTTAACTGGGGCCAGCCCCCTGATGACAACTTTTAAGATCTACTATCTTAGCAACTTTCAAATATGCAATACAGTATTATTAACTGTAGTCACCATGTTGTACATTATATCCCCATGACCTATTTATTTTATAACTGGTAGTTTGTACCTTTTGGTCTCCTTCACCCACCCCACACACCCTGCCTCTGGCAACCACCTATCTGTTCTCTGTATCTATGAGCTTGTTTTTTAGACTCCACATATAAGTGAGACCATATTTGTATTTCTCTGTGTGACTTACTTCACTTAGCATAATGCCTTCAAGGTCCATCCATTTTTTTTTTTTTTGAGGAAGATTGGCCCTGCGCTAACATCTGCTGCCAATCTTCTTTTTTATCCCCAAAACTCCAGTACATAGTTATGTTTCATAGTTGTAGCGCTGTGGCTCTTCTATATGGGACACCGCCTCAGCACGGCTTGATGAGTGGTGAGTAGGTCTGTGCCCGGGATCCAAACCCACGAAGCCCAGGCCATTGAAGCAGAACACACGAACTTAACTGCTACGCCACCGGGCCGGCCCCATACATGTTGTTGCAAATGGCAAGACTTGCTTCTTTTTTATGGCTGAATAATATTCCATTGTGTGTATATATGTGTGTGTGCCTATATATATACACACATATACCACATTTTCTTTATCTATGCATCCATCGATGGACTCGTGGGCTGCTTCCAAAATGGCTTTCTTAAGCATTACTCCTATCTTCTCATAGTTCCATGTCTCAAAGCCATTCAAATTAAACAATGCACAAGTTAATGTTAATGATTATGAACATTTATTAAGCACCAAGAGTATATTGCAATGGTTGCTATATAAAAACACAGTTATCATATAGTGTCCCTGCCATTGAGCTTACAATCTAAAATGAAATACAACAAGAATGCTGTAAGCCTACCTCAAAATTTCCTTAACTTAGAAATGGCTGTTTGACAAATAAATGAGACAAAATGACCTATCATTTCAGGTACAATGTTAATAAGGCTTTGAACACGACCCAAAGAATGTTTTACTTGTACCCACACATTTTCCCCAATTTTATTAGGCTTGGTAAGAAGAAGAGCACTTAGAAATTTGCTAAGAACAATGAATTATTTCAAATTGCCTTCTGGACTTTAAACAAAAGAGATGCTTACTAGCCTGAGTTTTTCCCACAGCCAGGGAAAGCCCCATGAAAAGTACTATCAACTACACCAAGTTTGTCTTCTCTCCTACTTACAACTTTTCCACTTTCTCCTTTCCCACATGTAAGTACTATATCTAGATATAAAATACCCTAAAGTAGTAGAGGCTTAAGAAGTCGAACATCCAGGAAATATTAATTCATATTTTAAGAGAAGAGGGAGCAGAGACAGCAGGGGGCCCTCTCGCTATGTAAACAAAGCGGCCGAGTGCAGTCCTGGTCTCTGGAAAGTGATTTAGAACACAGGTAAATGGTTGCTTTTTTGCTCTGTATTTCTGGTGTAGGAGTATTTAAGAATTTAGCATCAAGACCCTATACTGCTAACTTTGTACTATTTTGCCTATATCCATAGTATAATATTTAATAGATACTTTTAAGATTTTCATTGCTGGTCATCTATTAGCTGAAAAAGGCACACTGAAGGGATTCTGATTCTTACTGTCAAATGGCAGACTGTTTTAAACTTCTGAGTACATACAGTCTCAAACTATATATTGATTATCTTCAATCATTGATAATTCTTCAAACTCTAAAAGAACACTAAAAAACAGAGTAATTGGTTATAAGTTATCTGAAAACCGAAATAGAATTTACTCTGTAAAGTGCATGCACAAACTTTTAAAAAATACATGCATACAAATATTTTAATGACAGAGTGGTTAGCATCCTGACATTTTGTTTTTCAGCAATTTTTGGAAAAACCAATAATTTTTCCCTTTAGAAGTCCATCTTGGCAACTTTCTTTTAAATGATAGCAGCAGCAACATTTAAAAAACATTCACAAAATTTGCTTTGCATACAAGTTGATTGAGAAAGAATGGTCCAGAAACTTCAGGAAAAAATTTTTTATAAAGTAGAATAATTCACTACTTTTGACCTAAAATTGACACTTAAACATCCCCCTTCCAATGTAAAAGTGTCATTTATACCTCCTACTTATAGTAAATAAAATCCAATTAATTATGAGATTTGAAATGAAAAACTTCAAACACATACCAACATCATTCTTTTCTAATAAGATGACAAAAATTAATTTCAATGTTTCCCCAAAAAAGGAGAAAAAAATTTTTAAAAAACATAATCAGGGCTGGCCCCATGGCGTAGCAGTTAAGCGCACGCGCTCATCTGCTGGTGGCCCCGGTTCGGATCCCAGGCGCGCACCGATGTACCGCTTGTCAGGCCATGCTGTGGCAGCGTCCCATATAAAGTGGAGGAAGATAGGCACAGCAGATGTGAGCCCAGGGCCAGTCTTCCTCAGCAAAAAAGAGGAGGATTGGCATGGATGTTAGCTCAGGGCTGATCTTCCTCACACACACACAAAATATATATATAATCATAGCTATGGTAAATAAGTTTGGGTTTACAAATTTCAATCAACACACTTATTTTCAGTTGGTATTGTATGAAACAGCTAGAATTCCTGATTAAAGTGTGTGTTTTTCTAAGGCAAGGCAAGTTTGATTACGTATAAAGCATGGATATTAGGATGGTTATAAAGGCAATATGACCAATACATATACATTCACTTTTTTTTTTTTTTTTTTTTAAGATTTTATTTATTTTATTTTTCCCCCCAAAGCCCCAGTGGATAGTTGTGTGTCGTAGCTGCACATCCTTCTAGTTGCTGTATGTGGGACTCGGCCTCAGGATGAACGGAGAAGTGGTGCCTCGATGCGCACCCGGGATCCGAACCCGGGCCACCAGCATCGCAGCGCGCGTACTTAACCACCAAGCCACAGGGCCGGCCCTACATTCACTTTTTTTTAAGTGATACATTCCAAACTACATAAAATTTAATTTCATGTCCTATTCTAAGACTATATCTTTGACCTTAAGCTTAGAAGCATAATTTCTGTAATACAATTAAAAAATCCTTCATTTTTCCAATATTGTAAAGTATACTGTATTTTCAAATACCTAGTATAAATTTTTTTGCACAAAATTTAAAAAGATATACCATTAACTAGCTATAACTATTGTGTTAAGTAATTGTATAAAGGAAGAAATTCACAAGGAGAACAAAAGTATATAACTAAGCTTAATAACTATTGCATTTAACAACAAAAAAACAAAATCAAGTAGTTCTGAAAATACTTGTTTCTCGTCTTAATAATGTGTATATGCATCGTAAAAGGAACATCAGCTACTAGTTTGATAAACATATTAAAATTCTGAAAGATTTGTTTTTCTTGGTTGGTAATTTTTCTTCCGAATACAAAGTAAAATAATGTGTATATTTTTTATCTGAATCATGTAAAAGCTGACTCCTTACTATCATTTTAAAAATTTATATTTAATTTTTTGGACCTTAATTAAAATTTAACATTTAACATGTGTTTTTTGCTGTTAAGTATAGTCTACATTTCAACAAATTGATAAGGGTTATTAACAAAGGCAAATCTTGATTTCATCTGTATTTTAAATATGATTACACAAACTTTTATTCTTTTTTAATGACAAAAAGGAGATGAAGAAAACCATTCATATAGGTCCTCTGCCCTCTCAACTATTTTGAGATATAGCTTTAAATAGGGTGGATCAAGTCAAGTAATGTTGGTAATCTCTTATCTTTGCATAGAAGAGAAAAAATAAAATAAACGAAGTTATTTCCTTCCTAAGGTCTCAGCTAGTTTCTTAAGTCTTTTCTTCAGCTCCAATGGAAATTTCTCATAGCACTTCTTACAGACTGGCTTCATGTCAAACTCCACAAATTTATTCCTAAAAATAATAATAAAAAAAGAAATTAATGGAAATGTATTCAACATAGACATAAATAACATGAAGTAATTTTACTGAAATAAATGAAGACACTATATGACGACTTCTATATTCATGTTAGCAAAAAACTATAATTTTAATCTCAATTCTTGTCATTATGATAGATGTAAAAACTTCACAATATCATTTGAAAAAAACTGTGCTTATAAATTGATCCCATACATCTATCTATGTAATACAGAATATATATTACATTGTAGTCAGTGCTAAGTATACAGGAAATCTAATGTAAACATAATTTAGGTAAATAAAGTCAATTACATTTTAAAGTAGCATGAGAATGTTTTAAACAATAGTTATTTAAAGCAAAAAAATTGTACTTCTGTAATTTAAATGATCCTCTCTTTATTGAAGGCAAAATAATCTTACTTAGTATTTTTTTTGTGAGGAAGATTGGCCCCGAGCTAACATCTGTGCTCATCTTCCTCTATTTTGTGTGTGGGACGCTGCCACAGCATGGCTTGATGAGCAGTCCTTCGGTCCGTGCCCGGGATTTGAACCTGCGAACCCCCGGCCGCCGAAGTGGAGTGTGCAAATTTAACCACTAAGTCACTGGGCTGGCCCCCTTACTTAGTATTTTAAATTAAGTAGCTATGAGGTTTCATCTTTCCTGGCACGAAATGGTTTGCTTCCCACCCCCAATAAAAAAAATCACCTTTAAAAAAAATCTTAAATCATAATGGATTATTTTGGTTGGTTATCTGACAGAAAGTTTCTTTTTTTTTGGTGAGGAAGACCAGCCCTGAGCTAACATCCATGCCGATCCTCATCTTTTTGCTCAGGAAGACTGGCCCTGGGCTAACATCCATGCCTATCTTCCTCTACTTTATATGGGACGCCACCACAGCATGGCCTGACAAGCGGTGCATCGGTGCGTGCCCAGGATCTGAACCCGGGCTGCCAGCAGCGGAGCACGCGCACTTAACCGCTATGCCACGGGGCTGGCCCTGAGAGAAAGTTTCTTTTTTTTTTTTTTTAAAGATTTTATTTATTTATTTTTTCCCCCAAAGCCCGAGTAGATAGTTGTATGTCATAGTTGCACATCCTTCTAGTTGCTGTATGTGGGACGTCGCCTCAGCATGGCCGGAGAAGCGGTGCGTCAGTGCGCGCCCGGGATCTGAACCTGGGCCGCCAGTAGTAGAGCGCGTGCACTTAACTGCTAAGCCACGGGGCCGGCTCCTAATCACTCTTAAAGAACACAAATGAACCAGACTGCCTGTGGTTACATTTTGTGAGTGGCAGCTGTATGGAGAACTCAATTCTTCTTTTTAAAAGCTAGAGCATTACACATTATCAATTTATTTGTAAAACAGTTCTGTAGAGGACAAATTTTCAGACGGCCTCCTAACTATTTGTAATGCATTTCCAATTGGAAATTACAATAGCTTATTACTGAAATCTGGGGTCCTTAATTGTTAATTGAGTAAATACATAACTTTATAACCTGTTCCTTTTCTGTGAAAGTATATTTAGGAAGCACTGTGAAACAAGTCTAGTGGTACATTGTCATTTATGACAAATGATTATTAAATCTGCTGATAATTTAGAAAACATTAACCAAGTTAATTCCTGACCACATATTTAAAATGAAAAATCTTTTAAAGTACCACATGAGAATTATTTTCTAGCTGTTTTTCACAGAGATCCTAATGCTGACAGTAATTGAAATGATGTTACATTTCAATTAGCAGTTTGATTTAAATAGTACTATTGAGTTAAAAATTTCTCCCCAAGTCTTCTTAGAACAAAAGCTATTAAAACCACCATTTTTTTGATGAAAGAAATAAATTATCACTGCTTTCAGAGATGTATATTACTGCTAAGCAAACTTCCATTGTTTTAATTTTACATTTGAATTTTAATTCCTCTTTATAGATGGAAACATGACAACTGAAACATTAAAAAATGTTTAGAGCTCAGAACACAATGGAAACCATGAAGGAAAAATAGGACAATCATGCTAGTAATTCAACAGAATTTCAAAGATTGAAATATTTCCCATAAAAATCAGAAATAAAGTTTGAAAACATCAAGAAAATGAATTCATAAACAGCAGCATACGGGCACTGTATGAAAGCACATATCTATACACCAAAGATAGTTGATATTTTATTATGTACTTAGAAGGTCTTTGCTTAGTTATGAAACACGCTGAAAGGATGTAATTTAATATAGAACTTAGAACATGTGCCACTGGAATTTATCAATTAAATTATTTTTGGCAAAGAAACCAAAAACCAGTATTTTAAAAGCTGCAATTATCAGACAAAAATACTTTAAAACTTTTCCCAGTAGGATCTATTAAGAGACTGGAATTCTTCCCTTTGAATCCATTAAAAAGAAAGAAAGAAATCTATACCGTATTGTGATTTAAGAAAAGAGATGAGGGAATCTATAGATTAAGGGAATAAGTGAAGTAAAAGCCAGTATTAAGCGTGGACCTTATTAATGTAAACTTTATAATTTTAATAATTATGCAAAAGGACCAACTCTACACAGGCAAATACTTGTATTTCAATCTCAGATAGCTATAAATACATGCCAAAAAGAAACAAAAAAAGCAAAAGATAAAAACAGAACAAAAACATCTTCTGCAGGACTAACCAAAGAAGAAAGCAGTGAAAATGATGATAGAAGGGACAGAAAAGTTTACAAACAGACTGGCTTTTTCTTTTTCTGCTTGTCCTTATCCTTTGCTTCTCTCTCCCGTTTGGCAAGTCGCCTCTTAAATTCTTCTGGCATTTTCTCATAACAGTGTTTGCAGACTGGTTTTAGATCAATTTCAACAAACTTATCCCTTTAGGCAGGACAAAGAAGGAAGAGAAGAAAGAACAGGGAACAGTTAAAGGAAGAACCTTTACTTTTAGAAGGCCTGAACAGAAAGAGGAAACAAGGAGTCAAAATCTTTTTAAACTCTATGAATATTTAAAAAAATGTTACCCCAAAGTTTTCAGTCTTAGGATTCACATTGGACCAAACTGCAGACTTACTTGAGTGTTAATTTAGTGTTGCAGGTAGAACAGGCAAAACAGTTCACACACCAGGCCTTATTAAGAGCAGAGACCACTGGAGAAAGAGCACAGGTGTCTGGTCACATACACTGCTATGGGAAGTGGGGAGCTTAAATTTCCAAACTAAAACAGAATTAAGGTTATTTTCATGACACCTGGAAGAGGGTCTCAAGAGGTTTTCCTGTAAAAGAATCACATAGCTAAAAATCTCGGTGCCATTAATTAATGTTTATTGAATCAATTTTATTAATTTAATTATTAAGGCTATTTTTTCACCTTATTAAAAAAACATACAAGCTGAGCACTTATAATTTATGTCTTCTGTGACTGTAGCCTTCACCTTAGGGAAGATTATTATTGCCTTTTTCAGACTGTATTTACAGTTACATTTTTTTTCCTTTCCTTTGAGTATCCTGTGAGGCATATCAATGGTACGTACACACCAAAGCTCGTGTCCTCCCTCCGTGGATGACGCGGCATACATCTCACCTGTATTAAGTCACTCAGACGAGCTTTTCTGGCACAGTAATTGCCTACTAGCGCACTCTCCACTACCTTTCTGTCCTACTGCCACTGGGCCAACAAAGAAATATGAACTAGGTAAGTAATATATAAAAAAAAAATCCAGACATTAACTTATTTGCCTGTAGGAATCTTTCCTCCAAAGCTGACAACAGGAAAAGAGGGCTTCCTTTGACAGCTTCTTTCACCTAGCAACTGTCTCATGGAGAAGGGAGCTAAGTTTTATTTTCAGTGGCACTAAAGATTGCTTTCCTGAACTAATCCTTTCACAAACTGCATATGGGCAGTGTTTCAGAAAGTATTTCCTGAGTTAGGTTCTCTGCCGAGAACTGTAAAGCATTCTCAAAACAGGAATGTTTAAAACTTTGCCAGGAAGTTTCTGGCAGAATTGTGCTAGTGACTATTAGCAAACACAGCTGCTTCCTTTCTGTTCCAGTCAATCAGCCCTGCCTAATTACCACGGTACAAGGATGGTAAGTCCTAGAAATGTCTACAGGTAACTGCCAGGTTTTAGCATCTGTAGGGTTAAAGTGACTCTTCCTAACAACCACGGTAGATTAAACTGTTCCTGATAAACACTGCTCTACAGCGTCCAAGTTATATAATTCCAGGGAATGGAAAAAGAAACAGATCTCAGGTTCAGCCACAAACAGTTCCCACAATTTCTACTGTAACAACCCCGTGACCCTGGCCTAAAGTATTGTCATAGATGAGTAACAAAGCCAACTCTTACGATATTATCATCTCATACAGATTACTTGGGAAATATGCAAATTCTTGGGAAACCATCCACCTTTTTCAATTTTAACATTACCCGTGGTTTTTTTTTTTTTTTTTGTGAGGAAGATCAGCCCTGTGCTAACATCTGCCAATCCTCCTCTTTTTTTTTTTTTATTTGCTGAGGAAGACTGGCCCTGGGCTAACATCCACGCCCATCTTCCTCCACTTTATATGGGACGCCGCCACAGCATGGCTTGCCAAGCGGTGTGTCAGTGCATGCCCGGGATCTGAACCGGTGAACCCCAGACTGCCGCAGCGGAGCACACACACTTAACCGCTTGCGCCACTGGGCCAGCCCCTACCCAAGTGTTTTTGTGTCAAAATGATGCCATACAAAATTCCTACAGATACTTACCATCACCTTCTATAACACGGTTGCAGTGGAAACAAACATCACCAAAAAGCTGAAATAAAAAAAAGTGGTAAAAATTCAAGATGTTTTAGAACACCAAACATTTAATATAATTTCACTTCTTTCTACCACTGAAAAACAAATAGCTGGCTACTTATATCTAGAATTTACCATGACTATAGAAAATTAGTAAAAGTTCATTGACTAGTTTTTACTTTTTACAGTGAAAATAATTTACTTTTCATCACTATCGAAAACAAAAAAAGACTCTGGAAATGTCCAGATTTAAGGAGGCTAATGGAACATGACAACTTTACACTGGGTCCAGTACCAGACTGGAAAAAAATGCTAAAAGGATATTAAAGTATTGTATCAATGCTGATAACTATGGTTACATAAGAGAGTTCCACATTCTTGCAAAACATACATTGAAATATTTAGGGGTAAAGGACCATGATGAACTTATTATCAAATGCTTCAGAAAAAATACGTATTTGTATATTATGTAAACATATATTTGTATGCAAAGATATGTGCATTTATATAAGTGTGTGTTTTTATAGAGTTAGCACGTGCAAATGATAAAGCAAACGGTGAACATGAGTAAAAGGTATATAGGTAGTCTTCGTATTTTTATTTTATAATTTTTCTGTGAGTCTGAAATTATTTCCTAACTAAAAAGTTAAAAACAAATCTCTATAGTCCTATGTACATTTTCCAAGAGATTTCCTTGTAGCTAAAATATTGATAAGCTAAAATTAATAAAAGTATATCTAGCATCCAATGAGTACAATCCATACCTGGTTATAATGGGTTTCACAATATGCCAGGCCCTTCCTTTCATAATGGCGATGTCCAAGAAATGGTTTTTCACACTTGGCACAAACAAAATGCTGAAAAAAAAATGCTATATGTCATTTTTGAATTGCCATATTTTATTTATTTAATGAAGTAAAACTTGAAAGTTAAACTATCCTCAGAGAAGATACATGAAAGTTTGAGGTAGTTATTTCATTTGGCCATAGATAACCCTGTAGTACTGTCAGTCTTAATTCTAGCGTCTTGAGTCTTGGGCAGGTTACTGTAAAACACAGCCTACTGGAACAACACAGAATGGGAAAGAGGCGAACATGTCAGTAGCATCAGTGAAGGAGGGGCTGCTGGTGGATATGGACCATGACACTTCTTGCCTCTTATGAACAAAAGAGCACATCCTGTATCATTACTGAGAAATCAGGGCCGGCCCTGTGGCCTAGCAGTTAAGTGCTTGCGCTCCGATGCTGGCGGCCCGGGTTCGGACCCCGGGCGCGCATCGACGGGCCGCTTCTCTAGCCATGCTGAGGCTGCGTCCCACATACAGCAACTAGAAGGACGTGCAGCTATGACATACAACATCTACTGGGGCTTTGGGGGTAAAATAAATAAATAAATAAAATTATTATCATTACTGAGAAATCACAAAAGCAGTGCATATCCTATATTCTTAATTTTCTACAAAGTCAATTGTCTTTAAAATGTCCATATTTAATCTTTAGACTCGCCTAATCTTGCTAGCACATCTGAACCATGGAAATTAAAAAATACTGGTTCCCCCTCCACCATTTAGAACTCACCTCCACATGCCACTGCTTGCCCATGGCATTCACGACACGCCCTTCAATGGGCCGTCGACAAGCGCCACAGATGGGAACCCCCATTTTATCATGGCACGGCAAGCAGTACAGTTCTCCTTTCAGCTCCCGGGCATCAGCGGTCAGCTCCTTCCTGTGCATGAGAGATACCCAACTGAATGACACTAGCAAGAGAGAGAAAAACAGGCAGCCAACGTGGCTAACACACTTTTTAGAAGGTTTTTTTTTTTTTTTTGTGAGGAAGATCAGCCCTGAGCTAACATCCATGCTAATCCTTCTCTTTTTGCTGAGGAAGACCGGCTCTGAGCTAACATCTATTGCCAATCCTCCTTCTTTTTTTCTTCCCCAAAGCCCCAGTAGATAGTTGTATGTCATAGCTGCACATCCTTCTAGTTGCTGTATGTGGGACGCGGCCTCTGCGTGGCCGGAGAAGTGGGGCGTCAGTGCGCACCCAGGATCCGAACCTGGGCCGCCAGTAGCGGAGTGCACACTTAACCGCGAAGCCACGGGGCCGGCCCTGGAAGGTTTTTGAAGATATCACTGTAACAACGACTATAACTTCTTTTTCCCCCCATAGTGGTGATCAGAGTAACACAAATTAATAGGGTTGACTATGTTTCAGATTCCTATCAAAACATCAATATCATATAATAATGATAAAATGTATGAATAAGTCAGGTACATACCATTACACTGGTCATAGTTATCATTTCCTTGTCTATTATCACATTAAAGTCCATGTGTCTTCCTTAAAAAGCTAGAGGAGATAATCATAGTCCTGAGGACAGACTCAGTGATATTATCTTTCCAGAATAACTGAGGAGTTTGGAGACTAGTTCCATTTACTAACAATTATTTAAACTGTCACAAGCTGTTAAGAATAGTTATAGGTTAATAGAAAATAAACGAATGAAACACCCAGAATTTTCCTTCTCCAAATGCTTAAGTTCACTATTATTTTCAGTCTCCTGTGTCAATAAACATTTACCAGAGATGGCCCCAATTAGCCAAATGGACTTGTTTGAATTTCATCTGTTTAAATAATTCTTTAGAAGTGCTAATGAAAAATGAACAGAGAAAACTCCCACCAGAAGAAAGAAAGGAAGAGAAGGAAGAAAACGAGAAAAGGCACAAACCGATAATCACAAAAAAGATGAGGTGCCTGTGCTTCACCCTGAGGCTGACTTCTTCAACTGCAGCCTACCCTGTCTCTCCCCTCCCACTACAGTTAGCATGTAAGTTCATACTGATCATAGTCAAGTGCTTTTTCCATTACATTTTCACACTGCATAGCAAATTCAGAAAATCACAGCCTAACAATTTATCATGAGTTTCTGAAGAAAAAAATCCCTTTAGGATGTAAATAAAACAAATAAAAAAACATAATTTAAGATAACATCCTAATTATTACAATTGTGAAAGTTATGTATGTACAAAGATAAGACTTTCTAAAGTTTTTTTTTTGATCCTATATTAGAAAAACATAGTGATCAAAAACAGTTTTTGGGATAATTGGGGACAATTTAATACGGACTGAATATTTACAGGTATGTGTATATGCACACGTACACAAACACACACACACAGGAAGTGTGTGCTGCACACACATTCAAATGCAGCACATGTTAACTGGTGAAACTAAATGAAGGAATGTAGGTATTCTTTATATTATTCTCTTGACTTTTCTATACGTTTAAAATTTTCCAGATTAAAAGTTGGAGAAAAACAATTTGGTTTGCCAGAGTAACAGAAACATAACTAAATGTGACCTTTTATTTCCACTCTTTGTGCAATTTAGAAACATAACTAAATGTGACCTTTTATTTCCACTCTTTGTGCAATTTAAAAAAGGAAGAAAATGTAATACCCGCAGTTGGCACAGTTGAAGTGATCTGGGTGGTAAGGGTCATTCTTGAATATCAGAGGCTGCTCATCGATGATGGCATGGCATTTCTGGCAGATGTATTTTCCAAGGCCTCTGGCTTTCTCACGATTATGACAGGGGCGACACAGATGTCTAAACAGAGCCAAAACTTTTTTAGAAACTTAAATTTGAAACCCAAGGGTCTCCCTAATAATTAAAAAGAAATATGCTTCCCATATCTGTGAAAAGAAATTAAAGAAACCATTTCTTTAAAAATCACTGTTGACTTAGAGCAGAATCAAGTTCTTTACATGAAAACTACTACTTTTTACATGAATAATTATTTATTCCAACCCAGATAATCTAACTAATTTTTAAGAAACTCCATCTTAAGTACCTATCCCCCTTTTGACGGCCCAGGAACACATGGAGCAGCCGTGCACTGTTGAACAGAAATTCTAGAGGCCTCTCCTAACAGGCACCAGACAAGTCAATACACTGCAGTCTTGAGTTCCTATACCTTAAATTCTGTGTCCTAAAGCACCTCCTTAGAGTCCCATGGGACTATATACATAAGCTTGTAGTAGTCCATGCTTATTTATCCACACCTGACAGGGATGAAAAACTCCTACCTCCCAGCATTCTTGACAAACCCAATATCTGCTAGAACTTCCTGGCACAGGTCACAGCGGAAGCACTCAGGATGCCAGCTGTTATTCATGGCTTTGATAACGCGGCCAATGATGAACTCCCCTGTGAGAAAGCAACACACAAAGGATGTCATGTGGAATCTTACTGCTGAAAGCAGTTAAGTCACAATATGTTTAAACCTTTCTGCACAAATAGGGACTTTTATGTATGTGTCTACCATAGTAAGCACTACCTTAGAAAAAAATGTTTTCTATTTCATTTGGGTCCTTGTTTTTGATTCTGCAGCCATATTTTTGGGCCGTCTTATCACATCTCTGAATCTGGCTTTCCTTTTCCAAACGATGGATTGGGCTCTCTTGAATGCTTTTTGGTTATTTCTGCTCATTGTTGACAAAGAAAACTAAATTCATAGCACATTTTCTTGTAACCCATACTTAATTTCTTCTTTCATTAAACCTTTAAAGCCTTCTACTCAGTCTCTCCAGTCTCTGGAGACCGCCTAGGGGAGCTGCCAGCAGCAATGAAGCGGCTAAGATGCAGGCAAGTCAGGCGCGTGTGTACCACACAGTCCTCACGCATCTGGAGCACGCCAGTGACGCCTTCCCTGTCTCCTTCCCGCAAACCCAAAAGTGAGTAGGTGAAGGTTGCATTAACAGGGGAAAAGCACCTTCCAAAAGATCATCTAAAAGAAGTCCTCGTTAGTCTGAAATACCTTTATACTAGATGTCCTTAAAAATCAATTCTCTCTGGGTTTTGATACTCTTCCAATTTGTTATATATTAATAACAGGGAAGAGGAGTGATAAAGTACCTAAATGCTATTTATAATGAGCATCAAAACCCATTTTTTCTACTGACACTTTAGTAGTATTAAATAACTTACGTAATTTTGAAACTTACTTTTTACTTTGCATTCAACGGTAAAACTTACCACACTGATGACAGCAAGGAGCAAAAAGCATCTGAAAGTCATGCTCACAGTACTTCCTTCCCTCGAACTGCAATGGAAAGTACCATCAACTGGTAAATGTGACACACTCACAGGAGGAATATCATTGTTCTATGGAGCCACACAGGGAAGATCTTTGTGAACTAAGAGCTCTGCCCTAAGAATTTATAATTCTATTGAGATTTTTAAAAGTAGATATACTTTTGTACCTTCCATACCTCTACATGTGGGTACAGGAAAGATACCCTGAACAAGTTGAGACTAGAACTAACACTATGCCTCCAGAGTATGGTGACCTTGCCTCTAACTATGCTTCGTTATTTTTTGGCTCACATATTCTACCTTTAAGAGTCTGATAAAAGCTACAGACCCCTCGCCCCAGAAAATATGCACATATATACAAACTCCTCCCCATAATTTTTTAGGCTAATATCTAAAATATTTTACTGTAAGCTTTTAAACACTTACAGAGGGTAAATATTTTAGCAAATTTTAAATTTAAACATTTTTAAATGGGGCAAAAACTCATTAAAAAATAAACATATTCTTTTTTTAACAGTTGGAAAATCTACATACTTCATTTCTCTCCTTGAACTGTTTCCATTTCATTTCCCCCAAAGGTTTATCCTAGTATGATATTTTTTATACTAAAATCTTTTACTAATCACCCTAACACACTTCTCTGCAATTAAAATGTATATAATGAAACTTTAAAATTTGTTTTACTTTCTGAATCTATAAGGCTCTAAAGTTAACATTCTTTTTCTTTTGGATTAAGTTATCATTACGATGATTATTAGTACACAAATGATCAAAACATAAATATGTTAGAAATATTGAATTTTATTTTTTACTATTTAATTATTTATTTGAAAAGTATCTCTTCACGAGATGAGCAGGGCCACTCTTTCCCCTCACAATTAGTTCAGTATCCATGGATAAATATGACTTAGCATTAGAAGAGTCAGGGTTCAACATTCATTCTAGATTTATTTTCTATTTTAGGGGTTGTTTTTACCCTTTTCACATAGATAAGTCGTGGGAATTATATATCTCCCTTTGACTCTTTGAGCTCCTTATAAGTTATATGTCAAAAATCACATACTGTTTGCTGATCAAAATCCATTTTTAATGATCTATCAGTTGTCAACTGAATTTCCTCAGTTACGGCAATTAGCTGCAGATTTAGCTCATTCAATTTATTGAACATATCCACCATAGCTTAATTGGCAGACCAATTAAAGCTGATTTATTTTGTGCCAGAAAGAGTCTTACTTCATTTTTAAACTCAAATGAATGAGCTCTAATATATTTAATAAATCTATTTTTAAAACAGAACAGAAAATAACAGAAAGTAACAAATCAATATGCTATTACTCAATACTTTGTCATAATGCACTGTAATGTGTAGCCCAAAGTGGAAGTCGAAGTGAGATATGTTCCTTTATTGAATGTACATTATGTATATTATGTTTAGATTTTAGCGGTAATTAAAAAAATAAATCAAATATAAAAACCCAGAAATAACTCCATTAATTTAGTTAGAAACGATCAATATTTTATTGGCCACCCCAGTCTTAATCAGTGGGGGAAGAATGGTCTCAGAACTGTTTGTCTCAATCGGCCATTTAAGTTTAATAGGAAGAGACTGGTTAATGATAAAAATGCATCGTAAAACCTTCACAAGGAAAGGACAATGTTCGTGGACCATTTATTTTGTATGTGTGTGTGTGGCAGTTTTAAGTTGTTAGTTTTTGAAATCAGTACTCTTTAACATGCAAACAACTTGACCAAAAATCTGCCACAGAATTTTGAGACCCATTAAAACAAAGTTCAATGAGAAAAAAAGAAACGATCAACTTTTACTCTGTACTTAATGAAAGAGAAAGACATATATTGCCTAAAAGCACTAAGCAAAACCAGTCCAGCAGTTAGCATATATACTCTATTTGTTAGCAGAAGGCAGAAAAAATTAGGATCGCTTGTAATTTGAATAAGTCTTTCAAGATATGGTTCAACTAGGATCATAGGAGTGAGGAACACAGACAGTAGATCCAGACTGCCAGAGTTTAAATCCTGGCTGGACCACCGACCAGCTGTGTGACTTCGGGCAAGCTGCCTAACCTCTCAGTGCCTCATGCAAGTCCACACTTATTCTGCTCTGGCACTTTGCTCTAGCTCATCACACATATGCACCATGTTCACAACTCTTAGCACTGCTCTCTTTGCTTTGCTCTTGCAGGACTCTCCCTTTAAAAGGATGAGTCTTTGAAATTAGGGGATGAAAAAGGCAAAGTCCTAAAAGGAGAGTTGTCACAACTACTCCCACATCCCCAAATCCACCACATACCTGAATACAGAACGTCCAACAGACTTCCTGAAGCCAAGCTCCATCCTCAACAAGAAAATACACAGGGCAGGGAAAGATTGGAAGCCTTATGGGCTTAAGGACCCCTGACTAATCCCTTTTGATAGGTGTCCTGGAGCAATTCATCACAGTAAGATTTGAGATTCCTTTCTTCTATAAAGCGGGACAAGTGCTATTGTGAATACAAATATATTATCAGGCAAATCAATTTTAGGAAGAAAAATCCAGAAATTGAGTTCCTTGAAACCAGAATACAAAGATTCTGAAATGGAATCCCTTGAAACCATCCATATTGCAAATCTCTTCAGACCCTGGGCCGTGCACAGCCCAGTATGAGGACTGCTGCAGTGGAGAACTTCTTTTGCTATAATGAGCCGCCTTTTTTCTACAGTGTATAGCAATGGTCCAACACAGTTATGGCTCAATTTCTGAGCCTAGGAGAAAGGCCAGAAGTTGATCCCATGTAAAAATGAAGAAAAAACAGAAATCATAAATTGGGAAGAATCAAACTTCTGTAAATACTGCCTTTCTAAGTAACTACATGTTACAACCCAAAATTGGTTTAAAATACAATAAGCCTATAAGAAATATTAATGCTCCAAATTAGTAGTGTTTAAACAAAATGCCTAAGAACCCTGAAGTCCTACCACCTGCACAGGGAACAGGATTTGTTCAGTACGGGAGAGGATGAACTCCAGACAAGAACTGCTCCGCTTTTGTGTGTGTGTGTGTGTGGGGGGGGATCAGCCCTGAGCTAACATCCGATGCCAATCCTCCTCTTTTTTGCTGTGAAGATTGGCCCTGGGCTAGCACCCGTGCCCATCCTCCTCCACTTTATATGGGACGCCGCCACAGCGTGGCTTCACAAGTGGCGCGTTGGTGCACGCCGGGGATCCGGGCCTGCGAACCCCGGGCCACCAAAGGGGAGCGCGCACTTAACCGCTATGCCACTGGGCCGGCCCCGAATAGCTGTGCTTTTGACTGTTTTAAGTTTTGGAGTTCTGTAAAGATTCTTTTAGCCGGGGAAAAAAAGACTACTGCTGTTTTAAAAAAAGCTCAGAATTAGAAACTCAGCTGATGGTTTCACTTCAAGTCAAGTGCAAATGTTGGAAATTCTCACTTGGTGATTTGTACTGGTTTGTCATAAACTGCTCTGAGGTGAGTGGGTCAGCAGATAAGCACCTCCTCTAGTTGGAAGGTTCCCTCCCAACCAGTCTTCCCTTCTCAGGTTTCAGCCTTCCTGAGTCATCATGATTCCATGTAAGAGGAAATGAGGGAAGAAATCTCGTTGTAAAACATCTTCCTACTAAATCACTCATCATAAATTGTCTTTCCTGTTATTTATTTTGTGATAGAGAAAAAAGAACACATTGGGAAATTCAAACTAAGATGGAGAGAGAAAGAAATCTGAAGCATCAACAAAGAACCCAGCCTCTAAATGTGTACTAGGGCAGGGTGAGAAAGGCTGCACGCTGAGTCCCTGGTCTTTGGGTCAGTCCATCCCAATTTGTAATATTTCTGGAACTATACCACTCTATATTGGTTGGTTCCATTTCACTCCAAAAGTATTTTCTTTTTTTTTTCTTTTTTTTTTTTAAAGATTTTATTTATTTTATTTTTTCCCCCCAAAGCCCCAGTGGATAGTTGTGTGTCGTAGCTGCACATCCTTCTAGTTGCTGTATGTGGGACTCGGCCTCAGGATGAACGGAGAAGTGGTGCCTCGATGCGCACCCGGGATCCGAACCCGGGCCGCCAGCATCGCAGCGCGCGCACTTAACCACCAAGCCACAGGGCCGGCCCCAAAAGTATTTTCTTAGGGAAAAAATTAAGATAATCCTTTTACTGGAGATAATCCCAGATGTCACAAAGTTAGATTTAGGAACCACTATAGTGACTGTATATAGCTGATGTAAGGGCCTTTGGGTTGAATGGGTATTTCCGAAATGGCATTTAATCAGCCTTCTCACGCCACCAATGATCTGGTCATTTTACAAATATTTCTTCACGTGTACTGGAGGGTTGGAGATACTGATAACTTATGAAAAGCAGCACTGATGAAAACAGATTTCCCTTTGGAGGTAACTACAACACCAAATTTAAAGATCACTAATCATATATAACTGATACATTTATAAAATCTCTCTAAACTTTCCTGGTCTGAAAATGAGAAAAGAACCATGAAAGCTGTCTTCAAGTTCTATCCGAATCAGTTTGAAGATTGTATTCACTCCTGGAACAAGGACATGGTGTGGTCTATACAGCATGCCATTGTAGGCTTTCCATAAATATTTGTTGAATGACTGAATGAAACAGCAGTGATGGGCGTATACAAGACAGCATTATCTATCAGATTTTAAAAATATCATTCCTAGGAAACCATTTCAGTTTCAGTGAGAGTCAGGGCATCACAGGGGAGGAGAACATAGCTTGTGGAGACAAGCAGGCCTGAGATAAAATCCTGATTTGATTACTTATCCACCAGTTAACTGCTGACAAAGTCTCTGAGCCTCATCATGGCCATAAGTAAATTGGGAATAAAAATACCTAACTTGCAGGGTTTGTGTGAGAATCAAATGAAAGAAAAAGAATAAGAACAACTGTTTGTAAAACGTCTAGTACAGTGCATGGCTCATAAGAGGGGTTTAATAGTTACTCAGAAATAAAAATATAATTCATAAATC